TTTTTCTTTTTTTTTTTTTTCGTTTATTTTTCTTTGTAAATACTCTGTTTTTTTTTGATCTTTTATTTTTCTTTTTTAAATTTAAACTTTCCTTAAACTAGAATTTAAAATTCGTAAATGATAATGTAATAATTTCATTTACTATCAACTTATCAACTATTTTAAACCCATTACAATAATGTGCTAAAAACAGGAATGATAAAAAGGTGGAGACATTTGAATTTGGAGAGGAAGAAGGTTCGAGTAATAAATCTTATTTCCTTTCTAAATTGCATTTAATATAATCTATCTGTCTCTCTCTCTTTCTGTCTTGTTTCGATTGTCATATCATCTCTTTTTCATTTAATCATTTATTTCATTCATGGTATCATTGGGTCTTGTTTTATGGGATGTATTATTGTTAATTGAAAAATTTTATCTTTTAATTAAATTATTTTAATTTCCACAGCTTAAATACTATCATTAATTTAAAAAAAAAAAAAAAAAAAAAGAAGGAAAATAAATAGATTAACAAATATTATTTAAGATAATGATGGATAATTTCAATAACTTTTTCCTTTTTTTTTTTCTTTTTATGCTTTATTTCCGTCATCTTTTTTATTTTTTTTCTTTTTTGTTTGCTCTTTTTATTAGTCATTTATCTATTAATCGTACTTTCCTTTCTTCTTTTTTCTTTTTTTCAATATAAAAATTAAAAGGAATAAATAAATTGTTGCTTTGGAAATGTTTTCAACTAATTAAAACACTTGTATTAAATTTTAGTTTCAAATAATCTAAAAAAACAAAAGTTCTTTTCTTTTTTGATTTTTGCCAAAAATTTTTACTTCAAATAATTTTAACAATTTATTTTACTTTTCAGAAATATGACATAAAAATGATAAAAATAAATTGATAAAAGATATTAATACCAAATTTTATCTTTTTTCTTCAAATTGTTTTTATTCCCAAATTTTACTAATATTATTATCACAAAATTTATTTGTTAATTTTGATTAGTTGTTTCATCCTTATCACAGCAAATGTTATCATTTGTTCTTCGTAATTTATTAAATCTATTAACCGATTTCTTTTTTTTTTTTCTCCCCAATCTTCAAGTTATTTATTGTTTGAAAAAGATGCCCTCATTCCGTTTAATTTTAAATAATTTAATGGTTGGGCTTTCTTTTTCCCTCGTTTTTGATAAATTTGAAAAAAAGTGTGAAATTTAAATTTGATAATAATTGAAATTTTAATATTTCCGTTCTTTATAGGAATTTTAATTGCTGGACATTTTTTAGAGGAGAACGAGGGAGAGAGAAAGATTAAACGTGACTTTTTAATTTTTCATAATTTAACTTTTTTATTTATATTTAACTAAGAAAGGGGATTAATTTCGTGAGCCCGGTAATTTGTTAATTCATTTTTCTATTCATTCTATCATGGCTCTTATGGTTCCAATGGTTTGACTTTTAATGATTACATGAATGAAATCTTATTGTAGTTATAAAAAAAAGTTTTTAAATCAAAGAACAAAGCCTTATTATAGTTGTAGAAAGTTCATAAATAAAGGGAAAAAAAAGAAAAATATTAAGGTTCGGAAAATAGTTTTAAAAAGTATGCAGTATTTATTGTTTATCATCCTTAGGTTACATATCACTTTGAAAGTTTCTGATTGATTAATATATCTAAAAAAAAAAAAGGAAGAAAGAAAAACGCAAAGAAGCCTAATGAAATTTTTTTTTTTCATATTAAAAGAACAAGCCTGATGCCAAGTTATCCATCAAGTAAAAAGCCTTAAAAAAAAGTTTATAACACGAATTGAAATTTTACGTAATATTAAACTGATAATTAACATTTTAAATAATAACCTTCCTTTTTTACTTTTCTATTTGTCATTATTATATAAAACGTTTATTGCTCAAACTTTTTAATTTTTAAGTTAAAACCTTTAAAATTATATGAAAATGTATAGAATTTGAAATTAATGAAAAAGAAGATTTTTTTATCCTTAAATATTTGAATTTGTATTATATCACTTCCTATAAATGTTGTTTGATACAACCAGGTAAGTTCTTCTTTTTTTTTCCTCTTAGTAATTAAATAAATTAACTCATTATTGGCATTTGTATTATGTGTGTATGCTTGTGCGTGTTTGTCTGTGTGTGTGTGTGTGTGTGTGTGTGTGTGTGTGT